AGTGGAATTTAGACAAAAAGGTAAAACTAACTCCACCTTGCTTCGTTTTTGAATTTCATTGGCTTACTTTATTTCCTCTGAGAGGAAAATTTTACTTTAGTTCGTCCAATCCGCGCTTTCGAAATTTAACTAAATGCATTTTCCTGTAGATTTCGGGCCGCAAGTCACTTCCGGCCTCGTTTTTTCGATAACTCCAACCGTTTCTCCAGAATCCACAGTTGAAATATCGGAATTTTAAAAATTTTCCAAAATTCGCATTTCATACAGCATCTTTAAAATTTTGCTCCGTGACCATAAACACGCTATATTTTTGGAATCAGCAGGTCGAGATCCATATCCCTGAATTTTTTGAGAATTTTTTGTAAGTTTTATGTTTAAAGATGCTTCTGTACTTGTGATTAATGAACCCGTGTTGAGTTTTTACTCTAAACATCGAAAATTTTGGAAAGAAATAAAATTTTATAACATTTTGCAGTTTAACTGTAAAACCGAAAACCCACCCAAACTAATATCGATAAAATTTAATTTTCTTTTAACAAAAAGTTGATCCTTGTTAACCGAACGTCCAATACATTGAAATTGAATTTTTACGAACAAATTTTGATAAGGCACATCATCTCACAACGGCTCTACTCCATAGAACTTTAGTGATGTCAACCGAAAAAATTATCAACAATAATTTGCCCTAATTTATTGATAATGTTTGCTGTTTTTCAAGCACCAAGAACGTTCAGCGAAAATATTTTGTATTTTTCGAATCAGCACGTCGGGATCTATCCCTGAATTTTTTGAGAATTTTTAGACAAATTTTTCAAAAATAAAATTTCCAAATTTAACTTTTTTGGAATTAAAAAAAATGACTTTGGAACCAAATATTTCGAAAATACTGCTCAAATCAGCACGTCGAGATCTATATCCGAGAATATTTTGTGGATTTTTAGACAACTTTTTCAAAAAGTGAAAATTTTGCGAAAAAAAAAACAAATTTCGACCCATTTTTGACTATTTTCCAAACTCAACTAAATACATTTTGCTGTAAATTTCGAGCTCTGGAAGTGACTTCCGGGATCGTTTTATCTAGAACTCCAACTTATCTTTTTATTGGGAGATGAAAATTGAATTCTATATAATTAAAAAGACTTCAAAGTAGCCCCGCCCACCCACCCGGTTTTTTTTCTGATCACACATTTTATTGAACAAAAAGTGTATTTGCTAGTGATAACTAGTGAAATCTAGATAAAAAGGAAAAATTAACTCCACCCCGCTCCGTTTTTGAATTTCATTGGCTTACTTTATTTCCTCAGAGAGGAAAATTTTATTTAGTTCGTCCAATCTACGCTTAAAAAAAATCAAATTTCGACTCATTTTCGACCATTTTCGAAATTTAACTAAATACATTTTCTTGTAGATTTCGGGTTGCAGAAGTCATATCCGCTTTCATTTGTTCGATATCTCCAACCGTTTTTTCAGAATCGATCGATGAAATATCGCATTTTTTAGAAATTTTCCAAAATTCGCATTTCCTACAGAATCTTTCGAAAATGTTACTCCGTGACAATCAACACAGTATATTTTTGTAATCAGCACGTCGAGATATTTATTCCTGATTTTTTCGAGAATTTTTTGAGAATTTTTAGACAACTTATTTTAAAATGAAATTTTAACACCCCCTTATGTAAATTTCGACGTTACTTTTTACGTTAAAACAACGTTGGTATCTAATTTATTACAGGTGTATGGCCAAATATAAGTTAAATTGACGTTTTACTCTAGTCTTATATTGGCGATTTAAAATAAATGTCTAATTAATGTTGTAAAACTACAAACGTAAAAATAACGAAATAATAACGTTTTTTGGCAGATAAAATATATTTTCAGTGATTAAAATAATTGTCCTAGACATCTAAATATTACAAAATATGTTTATTATACTCAATTTAAACTAAATGAAAGAAATATATTAAAAATAACGTGAAAACTAACCAAATAAAACATGTTTCCTTAATTTCAGGGGTAAAGAAAGCCCGGAATTAATAATTTTATTTTTTTTTATTTTTGTTGGGCGAAATGTTTTTGTAGCCGCGTAAATAAATTTGAAACGTTTCAATTACTGTTAACTATAATAACAACATACCTCTTTTCGGATTTTTTCATGTTTTTTTCTCTTAATTTACTTTTTATTATTCTTTCTTCGGCACTCAAAAAAAGAAAAAAATTATGACAAAGCCTCTTTCACGGTTTTGAGGAAGATCCCAAGATTTTGAGAAAAAATACAAATCTGGCAAAAAATAAGGCTACACCATCCTATAGTTTTTCAAAAATTTTTTTCTTTTCAAGTTTCTTCATATTTTGTAAGTAATTCCAATACATATATTCACGTTGTTAATAATAGAGTGATGCCGTGTGATACTGGTCAAAGTCCCGACGTAGAGATAAGCAAATCTACCCGGAGTCGAAACCTGGATGGGTGACCAACTAGGCTTGGATGACAGATTTATATTAAACACAACGTATAAACAAATTTTCTTATTTTTTGAGAATTTACATGCCTCAAAACCATTTAAAACATTTTTCTTAATTTGTTTTTTTTTTATTATTAATAAAAGTAGCTTAAAGTTAGATATGTTTTGACATTTATGCAACCACTACATAAGACGATTAGTACTTTGAGTTCATAGTAACTTAAAGCCGTCGGACAAAATGGTGATAGAAAATTAAAAATGAATAATCCAAACACCTGATTGGTGATTGCTTGTATTTAAAAGTGTATACATTGAAACGAGTTCGCACCCGTCTTCATCCAATTTTTTAACCTTGAGAGTACGCAAAGCAGATTCCAGCCATGTTGAACATAAATGTCAAATATGACATGACCTTCACAGTTTTCTCAGAAAGCACAGTTACACTGACGAAACAAAAAAAGTAAGTACACCAGAGAGTAGACAAATTAAAAACCGACCACAACAACGAATTGTAAGTCACATTTTTGTCAAAAATAATCACTCAGTAGCGCAATAAGTGTTCGCCACATGATATTCTGCGAATTAGTGTGCGGTTTGGAAAATGATGTATGTGCATGTGTTCGGGTTCGTCAACTTAAAAAGGTGATGATAAATCTCCTGCAGTTAGTTTTAATAGAGAAAAAAAAAGCAAGCATTTATAAATCATTATGCAAATTCTAGGTGCTACTGATAAGAAATTAAGAGTTGACTTATGGTAAAGCTACGAAGAGTTGGTAAAAAATAACCACCTACTCAAGTTCTATTAACTTGAAACGCTGCTAAGAGTTATTAATGTTTGGCCGTGATTGATTTGAGCTAAGTGGGGTGCGTACGTGATTTTATTGTTTCACAAAACCTAGGTTTTAATTTCCGAGCGCTCGTTGCGCCTCTAACACTATTAATCCTAACCTGTCTGGAGATAATGTTTCATTTCTCCTTGGTGTAACACAAAGTATTAGCGGCTTTTCTGAAAAGGAATCGGCAATTAAAAAGCTCATCTTAAAATAACGGTTATATATGTTGTAGATACAATGCGTCTTATAATAACCCTGTTATTTCTCGGATTACAAAAAGGTTACTTGTGGAAAAATTCCTTTCAATTGAACGTGAAGCAATTTGATTCATGTTAAATGTTGAATTATTATAAAACATGCGGGCATTTTGTCAGTGTACCTAAATCAATCGTTAAAGAGTCACTAACCCGTTTAGCTTATATCTACACCAATTAACATTTTTATTGGGTGTGGGCTAAGACGGCTAAGTATCCCAACTCGGTTACCGGGGGAACAATGGAAAAGTGTTCGCTTATTTTTATAAAAGGGGAATTTTCATCGGCACCTAAGCTAGAAATTAGAACTGACAGCCACTTAGTCCGGCTTCAGACGGCGCCGCAAATTGTCACATGTCACACCGACGAATCTTTTCCTTCTACCAATTTATACGAATTGAAGAAGTGTGTATTCTTCAGAACCCCCGAGATGCGGATGAACGCTGCACTAAATACCAACTCGGAAAATCCATGTCATAATTGGACCTTTTCCAAAATACAGCAACGGCTACAACGAAAAAGTCGAAAGTAGAGCACTAACTTTTTACAACTTTCGCTCACATCAAAGTGTAAGTGGATATTGCGGGGTGTATTATAAATGATTCCGTGCTACTTAACCATTCCATAAGATTGCCATAACAGAGGAACTCTAATGACTCTACTTAACAAGTTATTAGCCAGAGTCCTTAAAATCGCATCAATTATTCAGATTTTAAAAGCAATTCCTATTGAGAGTATAATGGAATCAAAAATGGCGGCCGCGTAGATAATTATTAATGAATCGCCCTTTTATCACAACCGCTTCAACAAGGCGCAACAGATTAACAGATATTTATCAATTTAGACCACTTTTACCACGAAATCTCACCCACTACACCCACAAAAACACTAGGTAGCTGGATGTAGTGCCGCGACATAATTAAGATTAAGTCATTTTGACGCACACCTATAAAACCTAAGAACTTAAGTAAGATAAGTATTAAATACAACGAGTCTACCCTTCTACACACGAAAATACAAATTTACTATTCATATTATCAATACTACTACAAAAATTTGCTTTCCAAATCTTGTCCGGTTATTTGACAAGAATTGGGCATCCAGACTTACGGTTCTCTGGTTTCGTCAAAATTGCAAATTATATCGTTATCAGTAATTTTGTACACAAAATGTCTCATCATTTCATCATCCAGTAACTAGTTACGAAATTATCTTGATTTCTCAATAATAATAACCATTCATTACATTTAATTTTATTAATATCCGATTTTATTGAGTGGTAATTATAATCCGAGACTATTTTTTTTTTGTAAACTTTGCAAGATTACAGTTTCAGTGTGCTACAGTTCTTCCGCTGGTTATTAGATGGCTCTCCACGTATCACTACAATTCGTAACAATTAGCGCCATCTGTGTCCCACCACGCAAACACGATTCACAAAAATCAATGCATATAACTCTAATACTTTATTAAAATCAATAAATTAAAATCACAAAAACGTAAAACTATGACCAGACTAAATATCACTATTATTCTCTTGATTGCTTTTTAAGATCTAACTAGTTACATCACTCTTGTAACTAATAACTGTAGGTCTGTACTTTTGCAAAGTACTGGAACTAAGTACAGGCGGCGCATGTAAGTACGGTGTTAACGAAAACCTGGTACCTGCCACATCAATCTGGTACACCGCTTCTTTCGACATTATATACTCCGACGTAATTATTTTATTACTAGATGACGGCGGTCTTTGAATAAACCCTACACAAATCAATTTATCGGCGGAGAATCCGTACCTGAAATAGATCGATTCAAAAATAAACACAAGGTTGGCATTTTCATTTTACCCTGCGGAAGTAACAGTGCCAACAAATTCGTTATTTCGATACAACGGTTCGCCGCCCCAAGGCCAGATGTCTTTATCGGGATCAATGTCATTTAAATGGAAGAACACAAGGTGTTTATTGACGCCATTTTCTTTTTGTTTTTGTAAAGCAGGTTTGCCGATGAAGTTCTCTTTTTTGTCTAGTCTGACGCTGTAGCCATTTCCTGCTTCAAAAGGTGTAGTGAAGCTCGTGAGTTCTTCTGCCCAGAAAGGTATGAACCTTTCAATTCTCATAAAGCGTTGGGTTAAGGTACCAACGTCGTGGGCACCGTAGTCTCGTCCTACCTTTAAAGTAAAATTGTCAAGAAGGTGTGAGTGATGGTGAGGTACTCACGGTCATAAGTTTGTAGTATACGTGAAGGGCGTACTCTGACGGTACGTATAAGCAGTACCCTGGTTCGCCCGTGTGGGTGAAAGACATCACCATGACGTCAGAAGCATAACCTACGTTTACTTTCTTGTACGAAAATGGCGCCAGGCGCATATCGCTATTGGATAATTCGCTGAGTAAGCCGTGAGCTTTAGGACCCACTACATTAATTACAGTATACATGGATGTAACGTCGTTTAGGACTATTGTAGACCGTTTGGGTATTTTATCAGAGATCCATTCATATATTCTAGTTTGTTGACTAGTGGGTGATACCATGAAATACCTAAATGAACACAAGTAGTAATAGCTTGTTGGCTGTGGCTACTATGTTACCTATTTTCCGCCTGGCGTACTATCATACAATCATTTTCATATCCACCTCTTTCGTTCTGCATCCCCGTATGTACGATCGCCCCCACAGGAATATTAACATCGTTTGAACACAGTTTTTGGAGAAAAGTGACAATTTCCAAACCTTCTGACTGTAACAAATATCAGTATTTATCAAACGGGGTCACTAATAGTGTTACCTTAATTTCAATTTTAGAAAATGATGACATGTCAATAATACCGACGCCTTCTCGACACGCCAGATATTCCTCTTTCATGAAATCGAAAAATTTCGGTTTGAAAAAACTTCCAGGAGGCATTGACGGTTTAAAATCGCCAGCTACAAAACTTATATTTAGAGGGTCAATAAATCGTTGAGTATCTTACGTTTGTAGGATGAATCAAAATAGAGAGCTCTCTCGTACGCCATTTTTATTCCAAACACGGCTCCCTTGGTCTCCAGGACGCTGTAAAGTGGTGAACATCTTAACTTCCTAGCATGTTTATACTCACATTGGAAAGGATATAGAACTGAGTAATGTCTAAAACGCAGTTTTTATTAACTGATTGGATTATCAAGGTGTTACTCTAACCTTCCAACCACCTCTTTGATTCTTTGTTGTAAATACTGTCTGTTATTGTGAACATCTAAGAATCTTTGTACATTAAAAGGTAGGAGATCTTGAGTGGGCTCTCCTTCTATTATCCACTCGGCTACCGCTTTCCCGATACCCGCAGCACCCTATCATCACATTAACCAAATTCTATTTATTTAATTTTGTAAATTTTGTTACCTGTAAAGAATTGCCGTTCATACCACAAGCCACAAAATAGTTGTTGACTTCAGCAGTTTCCCCTAGAATCCAGCGGCCATCGGGTGTGAAATTATCGGGGGAGTTGACAATCTCGGGTTCCTTACAATTGGATAACTCTGGTATGCGCTTTACCGCTTTTTCCCACAATGGTACTAAACGATAAGAGTAAAATGCGAACATTATCGTGTTAAAAAACCTTACAGAAGTGTTTGACGTCGTATTTTATGTGTTTCAACCAGTCTCTAGGAACTTGACTGTCTTCAAACGCGGGTTTTGCGTCTTGTTCAAACCATCCAATCATGAAACCCCCTTCATACTCTCGTGTGTACGTGTAGGCATCATAGTCTCTTATTATTGGTGTGGATTCGTCAATATCTAGAAATAACAGCCTGAGGGACTTTATAAAATGATACAAAACAGCGCCATCTACTGACAATTTTTAAATTAGCGGCCTTCTTAAAAGTGTCATTTGCACCATTGCGCATGCGCGATTTCAAATGTCATAATTTGATTTTGAAAATTTGCGTGTTTGTGACTTACATTTTGGTAATCGTCCTGTTGTGGCGTAAAAGTGTTGTGCTGGATACGCAGGTATTCGAACTTGTGGCGAGCACTGGAGCCCCAATTCTCGGGCCCACATGCCCGCACAGTTAACAAAAAATTCGCATTTAATTACCCCCTTTGGTGTCTCAACACCGTAAACGGTTGAATTTTGTGTTAATACTTTATCTACTGGTGTATGCTCAAAATATTTGGCGCCCCCTTGTTGCGCCAATATTGCTAAAACATCACAGATCGCTCTAGGATTTGCAACAGCATCTTCAGGGACCCAAACGGCCCCTTTTAAGTCGTCGACTTTTAAGTACGGGTGTAAGTCTTTCAGTTCGTTCGGACTGACTAGTTCGCAGTGTAACCCTGTAGGAATATTATAAGCCATTCGCCGCTTTAAAGCTATCAATCTATCGGTAGTTTGGGCCAGATTTATGCTTCCACATTGACGCATTTGGATGTCGTAGCCCATGTCTTGTAGTTGTTGGTAGAGTTTAATACTGTACCATATTAGGTTTCTGTGGGCTATGGGTTTGAATAGCCCTAGAGTACCTGAACCAAAATGCGAAGTCCCACTTCCGATTTTTCCCTGTTCGAGAACTATAATATCATTCCAGCCATTTTGTACTAAATGGTAAGCTACGGAGTTTGCGACCACTCCGGCGCCTGCTATCACTATTCTTGCTTGAGTTGGAGGCGTGTTTGAGTAATCTTTGGTGAAGACGGACGAACATGGGACACATTTTCTTGAGGTGGTTAGAATAGCAGAGAGAGTAGTTTTGTACAGAAGTGACATTGTTTGGTATTAATATTTTAAGAAGTCAAGTGAAAAGAAAAAATGAATTTTGTACCTTTGTTTGGCCTAAATTAATCATTTTATCGCTAAAAAAATAAAAACGTATAAATACATAACCTCAATTTTGGTTCAGGTAAAATTCGGACAGTTTCGAAGAGCGCATGCGCGTGCACCCAGTGGTTCTGCAACGTTTCAAAGCACAAAGTGCAAACTCCAGCAGTTCTGAACAATCTCATAAGAAACTCTACCTGGATTGTTCTCAGATTTCAAAAATGGGAGCAGGTTTTGAAATAAAGTAACAGAATTTGTAATATATGTTATAATTTAATGAAAACATATAAAACAAGGAGTAACAAAAAATATTCTTGTAATAAAAAGGAAACTAGCATTAAGGATCACCAACAAGATAAACACATTTTGTAAATGGCTGACTTGACGCCTATCAAAGCTTACAAGAAAGTAGCAATAAGCGCCCTTTCTGATCAATTATGTTATACACCAAAAAATCAATTACTTGGTGTTAACTTCCCACTATATATATATATAAATCTAATTTAGTTACAATGATTGATTTTTTGCTGCAATTCTATACTGCTTGAAGCAAATGACATTCAGTGTGAAATCAACTATTGCAGGGAAAATGGGACAGTGCAGTTATTTAAAATGTACAGATTACTCTAAAATACATTACAGATACAAAAATAGCATTATTTATATGTACTGAAAACAATTAATTTGACTAAATCATACAAAAAAGCCTTACACTATACTTAATCAGTTTTAAATAACTAAACTCGCCGAGATGGTTGACATTTTCCAACAAAACTTATTCAAATAGTCCATATGGAAAAATACTTATGAAAATAATCTACACATAGGTATTCACACTTTGAAGTCACAATAGTTTCCTGTTACCAAGTTATACTAGTTAAAAGTCTTGAGTTTACAATTAAGATGACTATTAAAACAATGAAAATGCTATACGCTCGTTTAACATGCGTAATATTGATTAAACTCCCACGATGTTTCCGTTTTGTACCTTAATTCCTCAAAAATATATTACAGCTTAAATTCATTTTTTGTTAACGTTCTGTGCAGGAGGGAAAACCGGCTCCTCTGCTAGGATTTGTGGGGTGTTTATTGTTGAATTTGCAACTTCATCCGTTGCACAAACAGTAGCATTATTATCTCCGTCAATTGAATCATCTAGTAATTCCGTAAAATCAAAACTACTTCCATAGGGAGCCAACTCCGAACCCGAAACTAAGGGATCAGCTGAAAAAATTTTAAAAGTCAGAATATTTACTGTCAAATATAATTAACAAAATACCACTTACAAGGGTCAACTAAGCTTTCATTTTTAACATCATTTATGTTCAGATCATACACTGGAGAATCATCATTAAATAGCTGAAACAAAATAATTTAGAAAGAACACAAATTAACAACGAAACATATAAAAACGGCATCTTTGTGAAAGCTAAATTGATTGGACTTTGGGATGAAGGTGGCATATATTCAAAATTCTCTTACATAGACATCTTTGAAGTTTTGAGGGATCTTGTTTAACTCCTTAAAATAAAATAAACTGTATAACTACAGTATCCTACTGTAGGGTTATTCCAAACATACAAAAATGCCAAGAATAGAATAACACTTTATAGACTATATTTAAAAGTAGATCAGTGGTGGGAATTACTCTTACCCCTAATAAGGCATTGGCATCAACAAATGGATTGTATCCGTTCAAAATATCCTTGAACTGTTCAAGTTCATTTTGAGTCGATTCCACATGGGTATTTAAATCACTGCTGTAAGAATCACTAGTACTTGGCATACTAGTGGGGTCAAATTAGTACGACTTATAAATAAAAACATCATAAATTAGTGATTACCTCTTAATTAAATCACACACATTCGTATCACGAGTGGCAATAGCCATATTGTTACTGGTCACAGGAGTAGGTGAAAGGGGCGCCACCGCATCAAGTATTTTTGCATCAACTTTACTTGACTTGGCGGCTTTATCAACTGATTTGACTGTGAAATTATTCTTAATTAAATTACTCAATAAAGTATCTTGTGTCGAAGGATTCAAAAACACCTTTTGATCAACTGGAGTAGTGCCGTTATTTGTTGTGGTAGGTGTCGGCTCGTTGTCCAGAGTACTTATCAAATTTTCCTCACTTAAATCTGGATCTGTCAAAACCAAATCTTCTGGGTTCTCAACCGCCCCCACAGTCTAAAAATAAACAAAACGGTTATAAGGGGAAAAAATCGCACTAAAAACTAAGGGTGAGCCACACATCAAGTGATCCAGCACTGGATACCACCGAAAAAACAATTTTCTTCATTTTCAAGTTTATGCCTCACAGGCTTTAGTTTGGCGAAATATGGACAACCAGCGGAATTTTGGTCATGGAAATACCAAAAGTGAGGTTATATTCACTGCTATGCGCAACCGATAGCACTCTCGAGTTTAGTCACTTTTTGACACTCTTCAGGGGATGGGTAAGAGAAAATAAACAATATGAAAAAAGAAATTGGTTAGTGTTTTACTGGAAATTTGGATCAATTGATGTGAACATTTAATTGGGGGTTTAAAAAATGAGAAAAACCACCTCCTGTAAGTACAAAACAAATCTATACCCACCACATATTCCGGTTTGTCCCATGTACTTTCTTCTCCAGTGTCCTCGACCAACATTTGAGATTGTAATGGTGAATTAAGATCTGTCTGTTGAGAACCAACAGAAGCAGCGGGGCTGTCGATCTACATGAAATTTTAGTTAATTTGACTAATGGGACAGGACGATTCAGTACAGTAAAACTGTATGAATCACCCTGTATATCTGAACAAATGAAACATATGCAGGCAACAGACGACCCCAACTAATTACAAATCTACTTTGACTGCAATTAAAAAAAACTACGAAAAGCACAAAACCAAAGAAAGACAAGAGAGAAAGAGAGAAAATAAAATCTATCGAGTGACCTTGTGGAAACAATACAGAATCTGATGTAATTCAATTGGACAAAATAAACTATTTACACTTGCGAAATCAGTAAAAATTCGATAATAAGATCAACAAACATTACTACGACATTAATAGTGCGTGTTACTAAAAATGACTACAACACAAATGACATACCACGTCATTCGTTTCGATGTGGGTTCCGTCCACCTTTGTCAAAAAGAACGAAGAATATTAAAATGTCACACAAAAATAAACTAACAATTAAAAAATACTTACAACTGGCGAATCATCGTCGTATAGATTCGGTGTTAAGTCCAACTCGCTGTCTAATTCGTGGATGGTCGGTCCTTCTGGATTACTATTATTTTTATTATTATTACTAACTTTACTTTTTTTACTGGGGCTTTCGTGCAACATTAATTGATAGCCGCGTTTTACGCCGACGGTCATTCTAGATGGTTGGACCAAAGTGACTAAGAATTGAATAAGCTAGAAGGGGTAAATAAAACGATTTGAAAAAAAAAAAAAAAAAAGACACCTTACCTTATTAACAATTTTTTGTTGTTTTAGATGCTTCTGTCTAAGAATGGCTACTTCTCGCCACAATAACGCGTTTTCTTGCTTCATTGCATTTAATTGACTATCAACAGAAGCCTGACGTCCTCTCAGTTGCTTAACATCGTTCAAAACTTTAGATAATTCGTCGTGTTTATTAGCATTTTCATTAGAAGCTTTGGAAGTGGTTGCCTGTGAATCAATTTCAGTACATATCGACTTGGTCCGTCTAGACATACATACTTTTCTTTTAATATTACGCAACAATTCTGGTTGATCTCTAAGAAAAAATGGGTGCGAAAATTGTATTTCGTCTTTATCAGAATCCATCGTCCCATTTTCAACAGTCGACAATTTATGGAAACCATCTAAAATCGATCGATGAAATAATGAAAATAACTAGAATAAACAAAAATCGCATGGTCCGATCTGATAATAACAATAACAAAATCCAGGTATGGCCTATAAGAAAAATGTCTAGATTATGCCATGGTGTAACCTGTGCGGCCACGACCGGAAAAGTTCGCCAAAGTACAAATTTGCGTACCGTTTTAGACGCAAACTTCTACTTTAGGTGTAGTGTGTGAAAATACTTCATGGCTGCAGTCGCTATATAGGCCATGATTTCACAATTAAATTTCACAAATTGAGTATATTATTATTAGATACAGTTTCTGCATGCAAAGATTAAAAATGGTACTTACACATATTTAGCTGCCTCACGAAACTACTCATATTATTGTGTTTATAATAGAGAGGAAGTAGCTCATACCAAAATTGAGCTTGATTTGGTATCACAAAACTAGTGCCAGACTGGAACAAAACGGAAAAAATAAATAACCGCATTGATCTAAAAATACAAAAAAATGCATAGCGATGATGTTAGATGACGTAAAGCAAACAGAAACTTTATCCCCGAATTGTAAACAGGTCCTTTAAGCTCAATTACCCCACTTTACCCTGGACCTACCTTAATTAAACATGGCCGATGTTTTTTTATTTTGGTTAGGGATTAATGAAAGGGTTGTAGGTGCCGGGTAAGGGTGAAAAGACCCTTCATTATCTATTTCAAGCTATGATTAGATAATTTAGTGGTTTTGCGTTTCTTAATGCGGTCGGCCCTATCAGTTCTAGTGTAATAATAATGGACATTGAGCCTTAATCTCGAAAATGGTAACATGGTACACGATACAAATTGTGTACTAATGAGGTGTCGAAACTTACCGGGCTCCAGCAAATCAGATGGTCCGTAGATGGGTCATTAACCATTTTCCATAATTTACCTAAAAAAGCTGGTGTATTTGCTGTATTTTCCCCTAATGGTTGCATTGTGGAATTTCTTAGTTTCTCGCGATCGTATAACGTTATCAACACCCCTCGTATTTCTTTATTAACCTAAACTTTTGTATTAAAAACCTTTAAATTATTCCTAATTAAAAACGCAAGAGTCACACAAACCATTAAACAAACAGATGGTGGCACTACATAACTTTCAACTGATGCCAACCTGACGAACATAATGACGCGCGAAATTCAAAATTAACCCATATTAAATAATATCACGCTTGTTACAAAATAATCGTGTTTACTCGACAGACACTCCGCCGGACGTCACCATTACACGACACACAAAAATGTGGACTTAAAATAAGCCGGGTTCAATTTTTCAAAATCTATCTCGAATCGTCAGCACCCATAATTGCTCCCGTTTGAAAAATAGGAATTTTTAAAGTTAAAGATGCGATAAGTGCCTAGGAATTTGCAATCGAGATACTCAGACACAACGTTGCGAGGCTGTGATGGTGACAGTAGACAATTTCGCTTCAAAATTGTGCTCAATAATTTTGGAAAAAAACTCAAGCGGTGAGTTAAATGTCCATGAATGTTGCTCTGTTGAATGCAGTGAGAAATTGCCGTCATTAGACTTATTTACAAAGAAATAAACTGTGGACTATTCTAATTATATTGATTTTCTTATCACCAGGCGGACCGCGCATGCTCCAAACGCACATTTTCATTTTATCAATATTATAGTAAACAAAAAAATATTTTTAAAGTCATAGTGTGTGACACATGTTTTTTTAACTATATCTTTATTTTATCGCAATGCTGTGTCATCGTTAAACCACGAATTACAACACTGATACCGCGGTAATCACATTTATTTAGCATTGTTATCATTCGTGGTCAGACACAATGAAAAAGCCAATAAAAAACACGAATAATATGTCTCCTGACCAAAAATATGCTTCAATTCATCCCAAAACATAAAAAAAAATATGCGTGTGGGTATGCAACCCAAAATACACTCTTTGTTCTATTCGTTTTGAAAACTTCGGAAAACAAAACCATACAAAAGACAATAGTCGAAATCCAGGAAGAAATATTTACAAAAACGATTGGTTAACAAAATCGTGATCTTGCAAAATCGTGAACAACCAAAAAGTTCGTAAGCATTTCATAAATACCCACATAGATGGCGCTCACAACTTTGTTTTTCATGAATGTGGGGAATAACAGCCACATAAACAAAAATAACTTTCTTACACAGTTTCCTCCAAATCTAGATACCGTAAGTCCGCTCATTTACGGTGGGTGTTATTTCAGATGAAGCAAACGAGTGGCGCTTGTTGGGTCAAGAACAAGACGGAACTTTACTATTTAGCTGGATACAGTCGAGCAAGAATCAAGAGCCAGTCACCAAGATCGGATTATACTCATACTCGTCGAACGACCTGACAATACTTCACACTTTTGATACCGTAATCAATTGTATCCAAGCCTCTATAGACACCAATAGGACGTATTTAGCATACGTGATTAAAGAAACCGACCCCGAAAACAACAAAGTCTTCTCTTATAAACCATATTTACTGAAAATCGGACCCGAAAGTACACTTTGTGATTTAGAGCTTGAACGGTCCAGGCAAATTTTGGTCCAGTTTCTCTACCAAAAGCACTCAGTTTTGTCTGAGAGTTGTAGCGTGAAGTTTTTGATTTTAATTCATCAAGAATGTAAGTTAGTTTGTAGATGGTGGTAGTCGCTATTGGTTTATCTTCAGGTATACTCCAGTACCAGATTAAAAACGACAATTCAGACCTAACGGCTAGTAGTTTCTATTATGAATCTTTAGTTAGGAAATTCACGTGGGCTCAGTGGGATCCGGTACATCAAACTTTGTACTATATTCACAACCGTAAACCTAGTAGGTGTTTGGTTGAGGGTGAAGAGGATGCGGTTTCAAGTTCGGGGACGAAAACGTCACCCACTTTATCCGGGCTCCAGTTTCATGATGATCTTCCGCATGAAAGTGTGGTAAGTATTCAAACATACAAGTGCGGAAAGTAAGACTTACTTCTAGCTGAACATTCCGTTGAACTTACCCCACCTATCGACGGTGTTTGGAAGCTGTGGTATTTATGAAGACGACACAGTACCTTTACGGATCCATGACTGCTCCTTAGACTTGATAGTACTGACTGACTCCAATGGATACGTCTGTGTGTGTCATCACTATTTATACCAAGTAACTCAATTGAGTTTGTTTCGTTACAAATTTTGTTTGTTACAAATTCTAGCCTATACAACCTACAACCGAGCTCAAAGACGACGACACAAGCTTAGTACATTTCGCTTATTCGGTTACAGTACTTCACCAGAGTTGTGTTATACATTGTGTAGTACCCGGACTCCCTTGGAGCAAGGCAAAAACAATTCGTCCCTTGTTTAAATTCTACGGTACTTTTTCAAAACTGTCTCGATTTGGATTAATCTTGGGTTTTAGGAGACCACATGCTAGTATTCATACCTGCAGTTTGTACTCACTTGTTAGATATAGGTGTTATGCACGAACCTTGTTGTCACGTGATTACTAAGCCCCTTTTAACCGATTTCGAAGTTCACACGATTTGTCTGACGTCACTTGTTACTTTAGGGGGTGACCACGTGATTAATTTAGCGACTTTAGACTTAATCGACATGCACGTACCGACAAGTTTGCTTGTGCAAACTTTTAAAAGTGATACAATTATGGGCAATAAGTTGTCTATATTACATTACCTGATTTTGCATAGGAGTGAGATGGAGACTGTTTCTGACGTAAGCGGTTATCATCCAATCCAGTTTGGCTAAGTTTGGCGGGAAATTTTAATTATCCGCCAAAAATAGGGCGACATTTTGTAAATAATTGTGTTTTAGTTGATAGCGTGGCAAGCCGAGAAACCGCTAAGCTTAGGCCTGCCTCAGCTATTGAGGGAATTTTTGATAGGAAGTTCGTACGCTTCAGTACACAGGAATTTGCCGTCCGATGCCAGTCATTTAGTAAATTTATTGCCTATTACCACCCAACACATGGGTAACGAGCTAGAAGTGAAAATTAACGATAAGATGATATGTTTATCGCAAGACGTCCTTTGGAATGCCTCGATGATGTTACTCTCGCCGCAACAACGTATAGTACCGTACAGGAGCGACATCTGGGTGAAATTATGGGAGCAGTTGGCTAAAATATCGAAAGGGAAACAAAGATTTAAGCCGAATCAAGTGGTAGAGAAGTTGTTAGTATCGTTAGTTTGTTACCAACCCGAGGCGTTGTCGAGATCCAGCACTCCGATGTCACCAAGTGGCTCCCTAGGGTCGTCCTCCGTACTTAACGATTTCCTTTCAATCGGTAACCAATGTGGACGAAAATCGCAAATCGATGCTTTACCGTTTTACGAGATCGAAAGCTGCACGGCGAGCAAACAGGAACACATAATATCAGTTGTACGTTAAAACGCTACACAACTGTGTGTAATTTCCCCAGAATTAATTCGAGAAAGAATATTGTCTAGTAAGTGGCAGCGTAGCTGCTGAATGTAACCTTCTCAGTTCTTTCTGGGGAAGTTGTCATCTTTTGCTAGTTGGTGCTTCAATTTTGACATTTTTAGAATTTGCGCGAGCTCAGTATGCACTTACTTAAACAAAGTGCTGAAAACAAGATTAGTAAGTTTCAGTGGCAGTCACAGACTCCCATGCATGTTCACGCTGTGGCCACTAGATATATCACAGCTCAGTTGGAACAGTCCAGACTTTTGTGCCAAATTTTGTGTAAAGCCGCGACTTTTGATCCACGACAAGAGCTAGACAAAGGTTTCGTTTACATGTAAGTCGGGTTTTGTAGTTATCACCGGCCAATAAAAATGTTTTCAGTGAGCAACTACAGGAAGAAAGACGTTTTATTCTATTTACAATACTCGAAAGATATTACTTGTCTGTAGAATCTATAGCGTTCCCGTTACCTCAAGGATTTACTTCGTTTTTCACGTTTCTGGGATATAAAACTTTGAATTTTGATATGTTTCTGCAATATATTCAGAGAAACGTGTTGGAATTGCAGGTTGACGTCATGAAAATCATCATGGCAGGTGAGTTACAAGGATATATAAATATACCGAGTGACTATTAATGTTTTTTTTTCATCAGGTAGCTGTCATATTCGCAGTAGTTTTTAATTGACAATAATTCAGAATTGCCAACCTAAAAATTTTCTTCAATCATTAATAGTCACCCGGTATTTAACGAAAATCGTGATTATTCGTAATGTAATTTTCCAGATATTGATAACAGTAAAAGTGGATTGCACCAGAAACTAAAACTGCTCACACTTCTTCCGCGATCCCGAGCGAAAAGACTTTTAAACCAGTGGAATCACCCTGTTAGTTTAATGCTACGAGGAAGAGAACACGCGCTGAATATTTTGTCTGGGGTTGAAACTGGTACCACAAGACTGCACGGAATTCAAAAAAATAAAGCTTTCAGAGGTATATTTAGCACTCAAAAAATGTTGCTTGTAAATCAATAATTTTAGGTCTGACGGCGTTTCCTTCCGGCGACCGATTATCCCCCCTGGACACATTCCTCGATTTGCTCACCGCCAAAGCAAGTTTGACAGATCTAGATTTTGGTTTACTGATTGAAACAACAGAAACGTCAACTGAAGAATTCATGTGATTTTATTTATAATAATATTTTGAAATACATGTGACTATGTACACTTAGATCAGTTATAAAAAGGATTGTACGTGACCCAATGGGCTCTGTTTTGTTGTTTTTCGGACTCGTGCGTCGTGAATATAGATTTATATACATCTGTTACCTTGGGATCTTTGGCAACGCTGTATGTTGACTTCATTTTCTTGGCGTCGTGGGTGGCCTCTTTTAAAGATCCTGGACGCTTAGTGCCGCTAATCAGTGCAACTTTACTTGCGCCGTTCTAAACAAAGAAAAAAAAAATTGTAAAAGTCGCAAACACCAATTTCAAAAAAATACCTTAACTGTGGCTGCACTTGTGCTAGGAGTATTTTTGTCAACTTCATCCTGTAAAACAATAATAACCATAAACCACTGTCAAAGTCAAAATTCAAAAACTAAAAATTTTCTTGAACAGCCTGATCATGTTTACCTTAGGTGCTGTAATTGTGGCAGACACATCCACAACAACTCTGTTCTTTTCTCGCTTCTTCTTGTGTTTCTGCTGGCGCAGTTCCATTCTCTGTTTCATAATAACCAAATCTTCCTCATTCCCGTTCAGAATGACAACATCGTCGTTTGTAAATGGTTTCTGACACTACAAAAACCGATTATTTTTATTTACAACACAATAAACAAACTACAAACCTTGTGGCATGTTTTTGTGTCAATTTCCTTCAGCGCTCTTTCTGAAAACACGCATCCGCAGGTCCACAAAGCCACAAATCTGAATTTGCCCGACATTTCAAGGCCGATCACGGGACAAATGTAGGGGGCAGTGCGGCTATCGCTTTCCCCGTGAGTTTTGTCGTCGTCTTTGTATGCTGGGTTTGGGGTCAGATTCAGGTCTTTGATATCCTAAAAACCAGACAGATGGTCATGTGGGGCTGGAAATTTCTACGATTTTTACCTTCAATCCTTTGATGTGGCGCGCACTTTCTGGCATTCGTTCCTGGTTCAAGAGACTCTCAATTAGGGATATTTTGTTGTAGAGCTTGCCTAAGCCACACATGACGATTGGAGATTGAAGAATCTGTTGAGTGATTGCACAGTATCGCCATTGAAAGATCAGTTCGGAGTCTTTGTCTTTCTGTAAAAAATTAGAGGTTATGTTGCGAACGTTGTTTATCGGTGGAAAATAATGCGTTTTTCTCTAATACGACTTTATTTTGTGGATGGGATCAGTTTGGTCTTACTAAGGTTTACACTGTTGGAGAGAAATGTGTACTTACAGCTTCTGGTTTCTTTTTAACTCGAACTAGTTCATCTCGACGTGGAATAGTGCCACCATCACAACCCATTTTTCTTGTTTAGTTTAAAACTATCTTAATTATTAAAAATATGGAATTCACTTCGCTAAAACAACAACACAACTGTCTACTGTCATTCGATTATGACGTCACGAAGTCTGGACAACAATTCAAGCACAGAAGTTAATTGAAACGACACTGATCATAGAATAACACTAGGATACAACTATACACTTAAAACCAAAGTTCCTAAATTAATATGGTAGGACTTTCGACTTAAAAATGTGTATCGTTGGTCAGGTAAATACCGACGGTTACAGTTTTCAGAATTCTATTAGATGCAGGTAGGCCAAGGTTAGTTAATAGAGAATTATCTATTAAATGACTTTGCAGGTAGGCTAGCTTTTGGACAGGTGGGAGTAAACTCCCTAAATATCTAATGACTTTAGCATAGGGCAGGTAGACGAAAGATAGCACGTGTTTACATTTGTACAGGGATTTACATAAATTATAATTGCGTTCAGGTAGAACACGTGTTTTTGGAGGAACGGTTGTTCCTACAAAACTATAAAAATTAAATAAATATATCTCCGATTTTGTACATCTCAAAGCTGCATTTTTTTATCAAACCAGAGCTAAATTCTACCATTTTACATTTTAAACGGTTTAGAATAAAATAGTGTTTAGCAGCTGAAGGCACAAAAAATAAATTTACGACGTGTTTATAGATTTTTTAAAACTATTTAGATCAGATACATCAGCCAACAATATAAAATTTAATACTGTTTCCAATTTTGATGCTATGAAGCGTTGAAACGTTTAATCAGATCTTTCAGTTTTTAGATTTTGAAAATACACTTTATTTTGTCTTATATATTGTGTATATATTGTTTTATATTATATATTGCGATCGATTTTGCAATTACGCTCCGCCCCTCGGTCGGACAACGAATGAAAAATTCATCACGATTGAGATCGAAACGGATGGGTGGGGCTTCCTTTTTGATCGTCTTTTTTAATTAATACATTTATACCCGGTTTATACAAAGCGAAATTAAAGTTAATTCGCGATTAACTTTTAATTGAGGTCTGTTGCTAGGCAACGTGCATGTTTTAATCAATCACGGGCTCATATTCCACATTTTAACCCTTTGTTCAATTAATCGAATTAAATATTTAATTCGTTTTTCTACGATTTCTTTGTGTAACACGATGACTTAGGAACATATTTCACATGGTAATTTCTCGTGGAAAAATAAGGATTTTACAATTAAGCTCCACCCCTCGGCTTACGACGAATAAAAAAAATCATCAGAATTGAGATAGGGCGGGTGGGCGGGGCTTATATTTTGCCTTTTTTTTCTTAATATAGACTGTCATCTTTTCACAACAAGAAGCTTAGAACACGGTTTTTGCATCGATATTTCCTTACACAAATTTTCCATTTTAAACATGTTTTAAGTGTCATGTTGTGAAAAAAAGTCTACACATGTTCAAACAAAAAAATAAAAAGTAAGCCCGCCCACCCGCCCTGTCTCAATTGTGATGATTTTTTTTTATTCGTCGTGAACTAAGGGGGCAGAGTTTAACTGCAAAATACTTATTTTTTTACAAGAAATTACAAACATGTTTTTGAGTATCGTGTTGTTAAATACAATGTATATTAAGAAAAAAAAAGGCAAAATATAAACCCCACCGACCCTACCCATCTCAATTGTGATGATTTTTATATTCTTAGAAACTTAAAACATGTTTAAAATGGTAAATTTTTGTAAGGAAATGTGGATTTTGCAATTAGGTTCCCCCCCTAGGTCTGGCAGTGAATGAAAACGTCATTACTATTTAGATCAGGGCAGGTATGGGTGGGGCTTAATCTTTTGGCTTTAATTTTTTTCTTAATATATGTACATACGTAGTATTCTTTAAATAACACGATATTCAAAAACGTGTCTTACATGCTATGTAATTTCTTGTAGAGAAATAATAAGGATTTAGTAATTAAAATCCGCTTCTCTGGTTTTGACGATTAAAAAAAAATCATCACAATTGAGATAGGGGGGGTGGGCGGGGCTTATATTTTGCCTCTTTTTTTTAAATACGTAGTCGTTTTTTCAGAACAAAAAACTTAAAACATGTTTGAAATGGTATTCTTATAGGCAAATGTGGATCTTGCAATTAAGCCCCGTCCCTCGATCTGACAACGAATGAAAAATTCATCATAATTGAGAATTGAGATTGGGGCGGATATAGGTGGCGCCTAATCTTTGACTTTATTTTTACTAATATAAGTACATTGTATTCTTTGAACAACACGATACTCAAATACATGTTTTTAATTTCTCGTAGAGAAATAAGGATTTTGCAGTTAAGCTCCGCCTTCTTGGCTCACGACGAATAAAAAAAATCATCACAATTGAGACAGGGCGGGTGGGGGGGCTACATTTTGCTTTTTTTTTTCTTAATATGTGTAGACTTATTTCGACAACAAGAAACTTAAAGCATGTTCAAAATAGTAAATTTTTGTAGTAAACAACTTAAATCCGCCACTTTTTTTCTACAACCCCTTTAAATACGGAGTTTATAAATGACAATTTTCAGCCCTAAAAGTAACGTCAGTGGGAACAGCAACTGCAACGGGAACTTCAACCTCAACAGCAAGTTTGTAAATCCCACTTACATGATCCCTTATTTTATGACAAGAAAATATAAAATTCGAAAAAAATCTTGTAGGTCTTATTTCCATCGGCTGTTTTTACCTTCTTCATATTTTTATCAAGAACTAATTCAATTCGAGAAAGTTCGAGTCGTCCCTCTATAAAGAATGTGTTCGTTATCTTCTTGTGTTTTTGTGTTTCGTTTTTGTGTCTTTTATTGTATGATGGCGACCGCACGCGGAAATTCTACTTGGGGTGTGTTATTCTTAAAAATGTAGATGTAGAAAGGTAAATTATAATTTTTAGTACGAGGAACACGTAGAGAGGTCCAGGGAGTAGCCCCCAGGAACGCCCATCAAGAGTTACTACATATGATTTCGTAATTTAAAATTTTCTTTGCGTGTGTGATTTGCTGTAATTGTGTTTTGCAGGGAATATCGGAGTGGTTTAAACATTCAACCACTAAGTGACAAAGATGGAATCCAAAACAATGTAATAACGATTTGTGTCAGGAAAAGACCATTAAACAGAAAAGAAGCAGTGGATGTAATAACTATCCCAAGCGAAAACCAAGTTATTGTGCACGAACCTAAAACCAAAGTCGATCTGACGAAATATTTAGAAAATCATTTATTCAAGTTTGATTATGCTTTCGACGAGACGTGCTCCAACGAAATGGTATACAAGTATGTCAAATCAAATTAAATTTAAGCTGTAGGTAAGCAGAGAAAGATGTTGCTCTCTCCGGGCAAGTATCTTAACCACTAGACCACGAAGCCACTTATCTGTCTCTGCTTACCGACGTGTTATTGTGCCGCCACAAACCTTTACCAAACACCAATGAGCGTCCTAGATGATACAACGTGTCCACAAATGATTTTGGTGGCTTTGAAATGTCAAAAAAAGTACCTCACTGTGCGAAAAACATGGCAAAATAAATAACTGTCTTTTTTCCACTGTTACATGTAACATTTTCGTTTTTGCAGATATTCAGCGCAACCCCTAGTTAACACGATCTTCGAAGGCGGCTTGGCCACTTGTTTCGCATATGGGCAAACGGGTTCTGGTAAAACCCACACCATGGGGGGTACCTTCACTGGCAAGAACCAAGATTTTCGTAAAGGAATTTACGCCATGACTGCAGTGGACGTGTTCAAACTGGCCACGTCTTCAAAATATCGTCATCTAGATTTCGTGATTTCGTCAAGTTTCTTTGAGATCTATTCCGGGGAAGTATTCGACCTTCTGAATAATAAACAGAGATTAAGAATACTTGAAGACGGACATCAGGAAGTTCAGGTCGTTGGATTGGCAGAAAAAATCGTCTGTTCGACTGACGATGTATTGAAGCTCATCCAAAAGGGTCACCAACAGCGATCCTCTGGAAGAACTTCCGTTAATTCACATTCGTCGAGGTCTCACGCAGTCTTTCAGATTTATCTGCGAACGAACAAAAATATGGAGAAGGTGTATGGGAAGTTCTCTCTAATTGATTTAGCAGGGAATGAGAGAGGCGCGGATACGTCGTCGGAAGACAAGCAAACTAGTAAGTATTAGTATTATTATTATTGTGTACATTAGTATGCCAAACAGAGTAGCTAAAACTGGATTAAGTGATTGAGAGTTTCTCGTAGGAATTGAAAGTGCTGAAATAAACAAGTCTCTTCTCGCCTTGAAAGAGTGTATAAGAGCGTTAGGTAGAAAGGGGGCTCATCTACCATTCAGAGTCAGTAAACTGACTCAAGTCCTGCGAGATTCGTTTATCGGTCCCAATTCACGTACATGTATGATTGTCATGGTATCGCCTGGAGTCGGCTCGTGTGAAAACACCTTAAACACTTTAAGATATGGTAACAGAGTCAAAGAACTTAAAGGTGGCAGTTTGCAAACTAACACTACATCAGATGAAGGAAAAGATGATCGTAGTAAATTTTTAAATGTAAGTTGTGTATTTTTCGAGAAGTGTGTGTTTAACAAATCGTTTTAGGAAAATGGTATGACCTCAGAAATGTCGAAACTACAACAACCCATCTCTCAACAGGAACTTGCTAAAGAAGACCTGTTACGCAATCATAAAAAAACTATCGAACTGTTATTGGAATCCTACGAAAACGGAGCAGAACTGTTGAGAATGACTGATGAAGTGGATTATGACCAAGAAGGTTAGTATTTATTTATTAAATTTACATGTTGAGACATACTGAGAAACCCGTTTACTTTTGTTGATTGCGCGCGCACTTAAAGTAAGCTGTTTCAAGCACTCTTTACACCACTAAAATCTACGAGCGTGTTGTGTTTATCATAGTGTAAGACTGAATCTGAAACCTGTTAATTTTTTTCTTTTAGCATATTGCGAAAATTGGGAGGAACTGCTCGACAACATGGCGACTTTTTTGGCAATGTCGAAGCAGCTGGCAACTGACTACAGACAAAAATATTTTAATCGAAGAAGAACTCAGTCGTATAGAAAGAAGTAACGTTACAAGCCACATGCAACCTATACGAGAAATAAAACAGTTCTGTGTAAACTCAGTTAATTAAATTATCAGTTTTTATTTGTTGTTTATTTTTATTATATGACTTAGCCATTTACCACATATAAGAGAAACGGCACAGTTAAGTATAAAATCAGTTAATTATTTTTTTTAGTACCTAAATGTCTTGTGTTTCTTGTATGTGGTATGTGGCTTAGCAATATTAAGAATTAAAAAATGTGCATTATACCTAAACAGGATTTTTTATGAATGTGTGTAATGTATGTTATTTTGATTGTAATTTTTGAATGTGGGTAATAAATTTTTCATAATGTATATTAAAACGTTTGATTTAAACCACCACACTTTTCAAATTTTGATTTGTTTGCCAAAAATCTAGACGTCCGAAGTGAAAATAAGGTCCAACTAATGAACCGCAAGTTCAGAAATAGATTATTTTATAAAATTTACGTAGGAAGTACTTTGAAAAAATTTCAGATGACGTCATCAAATTGTTGGTGGGGATAATTAGACAAATTTCGTCAGTTTGCCTAATAAACGAAATCATTTAAATAACAAATCAAAAACCGAAATGTCGACCTTCAGTTTACACTTTATCGTCTTGGTGCAAACTGACATTTTCAAAATTAACTAGTAATAATGTAGTTTTTGCTGCTACTCCAATATCGTGTGACAGACTAAAAGCGGAATTGGGGAATGTACATTTTTGTGTTGTACGAGCTGTGAAAATTTCGTGTTTCTTACTGATAAAGTGGGAAGGAAAATTTTAAAAAATAATACTAAACGTTTTTTACGATGCTGTAATCACTGATTTGTTTGTATTATTTATTTATAGTTGGCGTTATTAAACAAAGCAATTAATTTTAAACGTTACGGTTTTGTGTTCGCATAAACATGCATAAAAGAGATTTGCCGATTAATGTACGGTATGTTGTTTATTGACACCAACGATAATTTTGAATTTCGCGCGCTTTTTTGTTGTAATCTTGAAAACACAAATTAGCGAGAATTGATGAGTAAATTAGGTGAAACGAATGCAGAATTAGGTCGTTTATTTTTAAGTGCGAAATAACGTGGTATTTTTTCGTTTAAAATTTGAATATGTACTCAAAATCGCGTCGCCGCTTCGTTTTCCGTTTCCGGTATCTTCCCCCTCTTTTGTAGTGAAATATTTGTGCTGAACTTCGATGTCGGCCTCGGCCTCATCTTTTGTAATTTTATAACAAAACGTGCAAATTGCAACCGTTCGATTATTACGAGTGTTGTTTAAACAAAAAACGACATGAAAATGGAGTGGACTCCTCAACAAGAAGGACTAAGGGAAATTTTAACCTTACTCAAAGAATCACAATCACCAGACACAGCAACCCAAAGGACTGTGCAGCAAGTATCCTTTCTAATTACCGTTGCAAAATATTCCAGAAATCGTCGGAAAACCCCGCAGTTAAATCCCGAACTTTTGCATAACTTGGTTTTCAGTTTTGGCCGATTGTCGGTTTGTTTACATAATTTCGGTATTTATCAGCGAATTCGGAATTCCCTTTTCGGCCGCGTCGCTTCCCAGCTTTTAATTTCCTTAACGCCGAATCCAGAAATTAGAGGAGCTGAACAAATACCCCGACTTCAATAACTACCTGATGTTCGTTTTGACAAAATTAACCTCAGAAGATGAGCCCACCAGGTCGTTGAGCGGTTTAATATTGAAGAACAATGTTAAAACGCATTACACTAACCTGCAAGTCAATGTAACGAATTTTGTTAAAAACGAGTGTTTACAAGCCGTCGGAGACCCGTCACCCTTGATCAGAGCCACGGTGGGAATCCTCATCACCACAATAGCCAGCAAAGGCGACCTGTCGTCGTGGCCTGAGCTGCTACCAGCCTTATGCACAATGTTGGACTCCCAGGACTACAACGTATGCGAAGGGGCCTTCGGCGCCCTGCAGAAAATCTGCGAAGACTCCGCTGAGGCCCTCGACGCCGACACCACAAACAGACCCCTCGAGATTTTAATACCCAAGTTTTTACAATTTTTTAACCACTCGAGTCCCAAAATCCGCTCCTATGCCATCGGCTGTGTGAATCAGTTTATAACACATCGTGCGAAAGCCCTCATGTCACACATCGACTCTTTTTTAACGGTAAGACGTGATTTTGTGTCGACCACGCCCACAGATTTTTTTTTTCCAGAATTTGTTTCATGTTGCCACTGATGACGATCCAGAGGTTCGCAAAAATGTGTGTAGGGCTTTAGTTATGTTGTTAGAAGTGAGGCTGGATAGGCTCATACCTCAGATTGAAAATATTATCGAGTATATGTTAGTCAGAACGCAGGATACTGATGAGGGGGTGGCTCTGGAGGCTTGTGAATTTTGGTTGTCGCTGGCTGAGCAACCTGTGTGTAGGAACGTTCTAGGACCTTACCTCAGTAGGCTCATTCCTGTGTTAGTCAGGAGTATGAAGTATTCAGAAATCGACATTATATTGCTCAAAGTAAGTATGAATCGGATATATATTTTTTCAAAGATAGCTATGGTATTTATATAATCATAAATACATGATAAGCCAAAACAAGTTTTATTTTCCACGTGCATTGGTTTTATTTTATTTTCAAGATGCAAAAACTACTGATTATGAGTTGCTAAGGTCATTGCAGTCTTATCTTTTTTTTTTTTTTAATTTTCGCCGCCATGTGCATTGTTTTTATTTTGATCAGTTCGATTTTTGACTGATTAAAAGCTCAAAGTTATTAATAAATGTAATAAAATCTCTTATCAAGAGTGCGTGTATTTCACACATATGAGTAATTTCTTTGTTTTGCTTTGAGGTTATGTTTGTGTAAACTTTTCAAATGCGATAAAATAATAAGATAACGATTCGGTAAATAGGAAAAGTTTCAATTGAAAGTAAACACTTTATATATAATGCTAAATCAGAGAAATATTTTTATCGATTCGACGAAGTTGCAAATTGCATGTAATTATTCTGATCATGTGCAGTTTTTTAATTGCGTTTTCTATTACAAGCTTGTTAGGGGAGACTAATACAAATTGTGTCATCGTGACACCCACTACACCATATTTTACATTTATAATACAACAACACGCTTTTATCACTTATCTACGATATTAAATATATTCATATCACAAAATTTCACTAATCTAGTTTTTTATACGCATTTATTTTTGTCCCTTAATGTCAGATTTTAAATAGTTTAAGTGCTGCTAATTGCTCTCGTTCCGGTTGTATTTTAAGTTAATGGAAGTTTTTAAGTGTCACTGATTTTTCTAGCGCGAGATTTTATGACAGATTAAATTTAAAAATAGAACCGGAGTCTTAAACGTTCTGATTTAAAATGGTCGTACTAATTCGGTAATGTTGGGTTTGTCGCATTAATTGCTTGGGAAAATTGCATAATGGAATTGTGACAATGCCATGATGACTCGTTGCGGTTTGCATTGTATTGTTCTGGGTCATTTGTGAACTTAACTCGAGATTAGTTTGGTTTATTTCTTTTGTTTTCTAGTTAACATTGTTACATTGTTCGCACTTGTTGACTTTTATTTGTTTGATTTAACTGTTTTATTGGTCGAAGTCAAAGAAGCTAGTTGATTTATGTCGGCTACGTTTCGTGACTTTTCATATTTTCTAGAATACGAAAAAGTCGGTCCTCGTTTTCGGTTATTAGCGATTTTATTAGATAATAACTGATTGTGTCGAGTTAACTTTCCAAAAACTTGAAGACGGCGTCTCAAAATTGTGCTAAGCAAATGTAAAAACCCAATTTTTTAATAGATTTTAAAAATAACTACGGATTTGTTGTGTACTCTACCGTTGCTAAAGAATTTCAAGAAAATTGGAATAACTTGGCAACGTGGCATTGGAATTTAGTATACGCTATTTTGGATTTTTTGCGTTATAAATTTAAATGAAATACATATTGTCAAAGTATAACTTTAAAGCGCATTTTTATTTTCCGAGCGTAAGCCCATCGGACGAATTGCCACTTTTATGTTTTCTCGACGTTTCATGACCCCTACAATGCGAAAAAAGTAGACTCCCGTTTCCGTCTGTCTGCCGTCCCGGATTTTTATTAGACAGATATTCTCCGAAAGTACTGGGCCGATTGTTGTCAAATTTTGTATTTATATTAAAAATGTAGATGGTAAAACGTTAACCAAAATTTGTCTAATCATCTACACCACTAATGTGATGACATTACTTCGGGTTTTAAAATGTATAAAATAACATAGTCCTACACATGTAGTTTCTGACTCCGAATTGAATTTTTACCCGAAATGTCCAGATTTTTGGAAAAAAAATCAAAATTTTTAAACATTTTGCAATTTAATTTAGTCTCTGCAAAATCGAATAGTTTAAAAACTTGGAGATGTTTTAAAGTTATCATAAGCATGGTAAATTTTTGATCAAAATGGTTTTGCTCATCCCCCCTGAAAATTTGATGACGCCGTCCCAAAATTTTGCTGAAAAATTGTACAAAGTATGATGAGTGTATACTTGTGATCTAACAATGCATTAATATTTTTTAGATTTGCTTATACGGGCTGTCTGAAAAAAATTAATGACTGAGTCAATTTATTTTATTGATTAAATCAAGAATTGCAAAACTGAATATGTATCTGTTTATCAACCCCCAAAAAACGGTGTCATTTATACCACTGGTTTTTACTATATAAAGGTTATGAGAAATTTTTCAAAGAAGTAACCTTGGGCCAATTTTTTAATAAATATTTAAAGTGACGTCATTAGTTTTTTGGAAGTGATGAAAAGGAACTGAGAATAATAATGTGTTGTATTGTCACGAGTTATTTATACAAATGCTCGGATTTGTTGACATGGCGAAAAATAAACAACAAAAATGACGGGAAAATGTTTTCGTCTACATGTTATGTCGCCAACTCTGTTCGCACTTAATTACACCTAATTTATCAGACGGGAAAAGACAGCACAACGAAATTACTAATTTTCATCTTGTAAATATTTATGTTGGCAGCAGTGATGGTATAAAAAAATAACTTTTGGAAGTGAATTCTGTTCAAATTACATTTATTTTGCTGTTGCGGGGATAATAAAGTGTCTTGTTGCGTTTTCAGGGTGATGTAGAGGAGGACGAGACGGTCCCCGATCGGGAAGAGGATATTAGACCTCGTTTTCACAAATCAAAATCAACAATTAAACCAAACCCACAACAAAACGGCACAAATTCCGAAAACGGCGTCGTAGAAGCGGACGACGATTTTGACGACGGCGACGACGGAGATGACGGTTCGTTGTCAGACTGGAACCTTCGAAAATGCAGCGCCGCAGCCTTAGACGTGCTCGCAAATGTGTTCAGGGAAGACTTATTGCCAATTCTCACACCAATCCTCAAGGAAACGCTGTTCCACCAAGACTGGAATATCAAAGAGTCGGGAATATTGGCCCTAGGTGCTATCGCGGAAGGATGCATGTCGGGAATGGTGAACTACCTGCCCGAGTTGATCCCGTACTTGTTCAGTTGTTTGAACGACAAAAAAGCGCTCGTTAGAGCGATAACTTGCTGGACGCTGAGCAGATACTCACACTGGGTGGTCGCTCAGCCCCACGATTTGTATCTGAAGCCTTTAATGACTGAACTACTTAAGAAGATTCTCGACGGGAATAAGCGGGTTCAGGAAGCTGCTTGCTCTGCGTTCGCTACTTTGGAGGAGGAAGCGTGCACCGAACTTGTGCCATATTTAGGTTTTATATTAGAAACTTTAGTATTCGCATTTTCTAAATACCAGCACAAGAATTTGTTAATTTTGTACGACGCTATTGGCACTTTGGCCGATTCGGTAGGGCACCATCTGAACAAACCCGACTTTATCAATATGCTAATGCCGCCGCTGATCCAGAAGTGGAATATACTGAAGGACGAGGATAAAGATCTCTTTCCGCTTTTGGAGGTTAGTTTACACTTTCACACTACAAAAAAAAAACTTGAACGTGTCGATTTTAGTGTCTTTCGAGCATCGCAACAGCCTTACAGTCGGGATTTTTGCCCTATTGTGAACCAGTCTATTGTAGATGCGTTTCTTTAGTCCAACATACGCTTTATCTGCAGATGGTACGAATTATAAATTACGCGCACCGCAATCGGTTGCGGAAAATAAAGAGTCTTATTGAATTGTTTCAGGCGAATATGCAAAATCCGGAGCAGTTCGATGCTCCCGATAAGGATTTTATGATCGTAGCTTTGGATTTGCTGTCGGGCTTAGCTGAGGGATTAGATGGTCATATAGAAAAATTAGTGCAAAATAGTAATATAATGGACTTGCTCCACCACTGTATGCAAGATTCCATGCCTGAAGTCAGGCAGTCGTCTTTTGCGTTACTCGGTGATCTTACCAAAGCTTGTTTTCAACACGTACGTCCACGTATACCTGATTTTTTACCAATTCTTGGGCAGAATTTGAATCCTGAGTATATTTCTGTGTGTAATAACGCGACATGGGCGATTGGAGAAATTAGTATTAAATTTGGTATGTTGGTAACGCTTTGACAAGTACGTTACTAAAGAATCGTTTACAGGTGCGGACACGCGACCGTATATACCTTTAGTATTAAATCAATTGATCGAAATTATTAACAGGCCAAATACTCCAAAAACATTATCAGAAAATACTGGTAAGTCTTTGTTGCAAACTTTTCTCTATAAACCTGCATGTTAATTTTAATGCAAGTGTCTGCGATTGTCTTTATTTTTAAAGATTTTAGGGTGGTGTGAGGTACGAAATTGTTTTGTAGCTGTTCCACTCTGGTCTTTGAAACAGTAACGTTTGACAGTTTGACGTATATTAACGCCACCTGTTGGTGTGGCACTGCGTTTTCGACTTAAAACTAACTTTCGTATTTGTTAGTTTTACACCCAAATCGACCCCGTTCACTAAAGTCCAACATGTGGATTTAATGTACCTCTGGTTTTAAAAATGTCGTTATTGTTTTATGAGACCGTGCGAGAAACGTGCATTTTGAGTCCTTGTAGCGAAAGTGGTTTATGTTGTGCACGTTTCTCGTATAAAATGGCCGAAATTGATGGTTTTTAACGAAGCATTGTTGCTATTGATAAGTTGTTAAGTGAAGCACATCAATGAAGAATTTTCACGCTGATGTGTTGTCTGAGTGCTTGGAGTTTCATTGATTTGTGGATCTTGTTCTATGTGTAACTTAAATTAGCAACAAATTTAGATGCGTTTGTGAGCATCTAAGTGCAACAGTGTTGATAAAATTGGAACTTTGTTTACAGTGAATCCTGAATTATAAATTGTTTTTGTTGGTTGATTTGCAGTGAATCAGGTTGATTTGGTTTATTTTTCAATTCTTATGCAAAATGAGAATTGGTGTTTTTTTGTTTGCTGTTCGAAGTCCTGTTCCCAAAACGTATTTATTTTAGTTACACTGTGTGAAGTATTTTCGTCTCCATTATGCCAGTGACATGAAAGTGAAACGCCAAAAACAAATGGGATCCACTGTATTAAGACCGACCAAACACTGTCATTTATTTCAGTATTTACATATAATTTTTCCATTTATTTATTTACAGACAGTTCTGTTTTTATCAAGCACTGATTTTGTTCATAATTTGTATGTACTTACTATCATTTCATATTTTATTATCTATAATTGATACTTATTTATAGTTACATGACTTGTAATGATTTATTTGTAATTAAGTTGAGTTTTTTGTTGTTTTTGTTCTCGGTATAGCCATAACAATTGGTCGACTAGGTTTTGTCTGCCCCCATGATGTCGCGCCCATGTTACAACAGTTTGTACGACAGTGGTCTGTAAACCCTCTTTTTATTATTTATTTCTACCTATTAATCCAATTAGTTTCGTTGATTTGTTTTTATTGTTTTGTTGTGAGGAAGCAAGCTTTTTTTATTAGCAATTGTCCTTCAATGCTTCCTCTTTTCACAATAAAAAACAACTCTCTTCAATTCATACCAAAATCACCCAATTGAAGAGGGCTGTCATTGACGTAACAAAGCAAGTGTGACACAGCAAACAACCAGTTGCACAAGCTTTAAGAAGCCGCTAAGTGTTTCTGACAATCGCTGCGAAAATTTAAGCCAAAATAAAAAAAAAAAACGGGAAATTTGAACTGTAACAGTCAAACAAAACAGGACAAATTTCTCTTTCCAAGTGGGATAATTATTATTATAATTGCCTCCATAAAACTAGAGTCGAGAGTTGGATGGTACGTATGCAATTATCCCACTTCTGATTAACCGATCCGATCCTATCCAATTGGCGAAACGTGTCAAAACACTTGCATTACAAACAAGTCCCGGGGGATAAAAAAGCCCGAACTTATCGAAATCATTGCAGGTGCATATCGTTGCGAAATATCAGAGATAACGAAGAAAAAGACAATGCTTTTCGTGGAATGTGTCAAATGATCCAGTTGAACCCTGGAGGTGTAGTGAATGATTTTATTTTCTTCTGTGATGCGGTAGCGTCATGGATTACGCCCAAAGATGACCTGAAAGAGGCTTTTATCAAGGTTCGTCGCAATACATTTAAGCGTTGTGATAGGCTAATTTTTTTTGCGTTAGATTTTACACAGTTTTAAAACGCAAGTGGGTCCAGATAATTGGAGGCGTTTTAGTGATCAGTTTCCACCACAACTTAATGAAAGACTTTCAACACTTTATGGAATATGAAGTTACACAGGTTGGTAGTTTTGGTTTTGGGGTTTATAATTACGTTTGTTTATTTAGGGTACCGGGGGTTATAGACAATTTGTAGAACCGGGGTGGGGCAACTTGGAACAGTCAAGAAACTCAAGCCAGGTTTTACCAGGATCAAGAGGGTGGGTTCTTTAGAAACTTATTTAACTATCAACAAGGAGAACCTATACTCGAAAGTTGTTATTGTTAACTGTCACCTAATTTAAGAAGTATTGATTTGTTTTCGTTTTTTACATAGTAACAAAAGACTGAGTATAGGTTTAACTAATAAAAATTAATGTTAAAGTGGGATTTCCGAGGAAAACAGGGCTTAAGTGTGTAGTATTTCACCATACATAAGTCTAAGTAATTCTACAGTGCACTTATTTAATTAAGCATCAGTTTAATTGTTAGATAATTGAAAGTTAAAAACTACACACTTAAGTTGGATAAATTATAGAATAAGTAGCTATGCATGTGGTTTGGTATTCTAGGTTCTGTTTGTTAAAGCGTTGTGTGAGTGCTTAACAGAATTAGTTTTTCTTTGTCAAATTTCCGAATTTGAGAAAGAAATATAATGCAGAAGTGTCTGCCGTTAAATTCGGTCTTTGTAAACCTTGATCCTTATGAGGACTTCTGGCTCCTAACCTAGTCCTTCCCAGATCCTAATCAATTATCCACTGTGATTTGACAGGCCCGTGAGTGAATGTGTTTTGTAATATATAAAGTCATGTGATAATAAGTTAGTGAACATGAAATCCTTAAAGTTTATTTGTGATACTTCTAGATATATTATAACTATAATAAGACTTGCAAGTATTAGTCAATGGTTTTTTATAGATGTATATTCAGGTTTGTACAGTACTTGCCAAAAATATTGGTATCAAATTTAATTTAACGACGATAAGTGAGACCTTCAACATTGTTTCATTTTTTAGATGCAATATTTACTCATCGTTGTTTCTAGTTTTTGTTTTGTTGTATTTCTAAGTGTGAATGAGTTATCCTTTCGGCTACAGAAGTCTTCGTTCCTTCAACACTCCGTGATCCATTCCTTTTGCGTGTTACACGCATTCCTGTCTCATTTTAAGTTAAGTTTTATTTAGGTGTGATTATTTGTTTAGCCACCTAGAGCGCAAGGAAGTACTTTCTGTTTCATTCTATGTTGTGTTTAGTTCGTTAATTTATATGCACAGGCTAAATAGGTATTCATGTCCGGTATTTATCCTCGTCTTCAGTTAACAAATGTGATTGGTGTAAAGTGTTAATAACTGAACAGATTGTCGCTTTAATAAAGAATATGTTTCAATAATACCAAAGTTCTCGTTTTGGTCGGTGCTTCCGTCGAGTTTACGCTAGCCGCTCGCGCTTGCGCACACTCGACCGCGGCACCCCGAAGAGTATATCTGTAACGTCGATTCGAAAATTTTTGAGTGATCTCTTCTGTACATAAACAATACCTGCTCTTGTTTTTAACTCTGCTCATGTATTCTTTGTTAAAGTTCTTACAGCGATTATTTTCTTGAGTACATGTCAAATGTATTATTTTTTTATAAGTTAATATTGTTTCTGAACAAAAATTAAAATGAAAGTTCACCATGACCCTGTTGTTTTTATTCCCTTTCACTTAATCCCGCGATTTAATTAATTAGACAAAACTTGCTAATACCGACTCTAATAAGGAGTGATTTTATTAATTGTCTAATTAGTTCGAGTTGCTCGTCTAAGACGCTGCCGCAAGACTTGGAAACTTGGGGATTTTAATACCATCAAATTAGTTGCTAGGCAACTAACCCTTCCAAAAGGGAATTTCGACGTAAAGTAACAACCCAAGACATCGTTTACGATTTGACGTAATTAAACGATACGATTGAGCTTCATTGCAGACATTAAATGAAAATATCATTTCTATTAAGACGAAATGGTCTATGTTCAACGGAAAAGCGAGGTTAATGTAAGTGAAGCTAGGTGATTCGACAGATCAGTAAGTCTATGTGTGTCTACGATAAATGCGTAGTTTAACGACAAGTTGAGTATTGTACGTATTGTCACCGGTAATGTCAAATAGAATTATATTTTTTGCAACTTATTACTGAAAAAGGAAACGAGATATTTACGTATACAATAAGGAAGATTTTATTTGTCACAATTAAGGTTCTACGTATATGCAGAAAACAGTCTTTGTTTTATATTAATAATCACTATTTTTTGGTGTCATAAAATATCAAAAACTTAATATAATTTGTCAATCAATAAAAGAAATTATCTGTGGTGACACGTGTTGATATTGCGCATGCCTATATCTGCTTTTCTTTTTGCTCTCTACTTGAAAAATAATTAAATAAGAGCACCCAATTATTTTGTTAGTTTTTAATATGTAATGTGACATCTTTTGGCTGATTTTTATATTAACATTCTAATAACCTCTAGTACTCGTTTCCCAACTCCGTCTGTTTTGCTTGCTTATAAGCTACATGGCAAATGTTCCGTTTTCGAATGTTTCCTAGTCCAGAACGCTCTTGCAAAAATATTTCTATTTCTCATTTGATGAATGTATTTTTATATTGTATAACTTCAGGTTTTTGTGGTTTCATAGCTTGAGAAGATATTTAAAATTGCCATTTAAATTTTTATATAAACACTCTATGTTAAAACACAGTTTTATTTATAGCATAGTAAAGCGCGTATTTTTATTTGTCTTTTCACAAAATATTGTAATCTAGATTTTAAAATAACCCTTTTGTGAACGACGTTAAAAAATTTCAGTCGAATTGGAACAACGTGGCATCGGAATTTTCGAAAATAAACTACACTTATACAGTCTAATCGAAATGTCCAAAAATTGGGTCTTCCATTTCAAAAAAAACTATATTATTATGGATTTCTTATGTTAGAAATTTATTGTCAAAGTATAAACTACTTTTGGGATGAATAAATATAACATCTAGAGTACGAAGCCGTAGCCAAAAATTCCTCTAATAAATGTTATGTCGCGAACCCTGTCCGGAGGTAATTACAGCTAATTTTTAATTTAATTTTTTAAATGTAACGAATGTGGTTTACAATCGACCTTGGTATAAAAAATTATTTTGTGTTGACAGTCGTGATTGTATAAAAGAATAATTTTTGCGAGTAATTTCTGTTCTTTCCAGTACTAGGTTTATGTAATCTTAAAGAGAACAGGTAAAAGTTGCGGATGGACTTTTAAATAGGTAATTTGAAATGACGTCATCGTTTTTAGCAAGGATTAGTAAACAAATTTGAGCAATATGTTTAGACTTCCAAAGCAAAAAATCACATCAGTTTGTTCATCTTTTGAGTTTATTTCAGTGATTAGGTGTGAGATTTCTTCGAAATTTGGGTAAGATGTTCGTAGATTATAAGACTTTGTAGAAATATATTTTCAATTAGATTAAAACTGATTTCTTCTTCCTGCGTTTCTGTATTTTTTAAGACTAATTGGTTTAAAAAATGTATGCCTATGTTTGAGAAAGCTTAATAACGCAATAAAGCATATACAAGTGAAGAATAGAGACATGTTCTCTGTCTCTGTTTTAATTTTTTAGCGAAATTTGGCGCGCCCGTCACTTATTTAATTAATCGTAGCCAACTTTAAATCAAAATGTTGTCGAAGTGTTAAAATAGAGAATGACGTATTTTTGAAAGTTCTTTGTTTGTTTTTTTTTTCAGACGTATTATTTTATATATTTACTTCAAGAAGAGGACCAACATTTGACTGCAAATAGAAAAATTGTGGAATTACTTTCTGATTTCTTGCATATAGTAGTCGACGAGTTTCGAAAATTAAGAACTCTGAACTACCTATACGCTAAAAAGTGGAAAGTCGTCATCAATTTTACCACGAAGTTTGAAAATACACTGTACATTTCCGAGTTTGTTAAAAAAAAAATATGTCAATTTTGAATAAACGATTTTTGAAGTTTATAAAATTTTAGTTTCTGAGATGTGTTTATCAAAATTTATCCCTTGTAGTTTTTGATATATACTGGGATGACACGAGGATTCTCCAAATCACCAACCTTCAATTTGCCACTTTTTTTTAAATTAGATAAATTATGACTTCTTTTTTTGAAAAATTTAAAACAATCTTGAGATTCTAGGTATTCCTATTTGGAAAGAATAATTTCTTAGAATACGTCATTTAAGTCATACATCATTTGCCAAAATCAGTCTTATCTTGGCAGGTACTAGCCCCGCCCACCCACCCTCTCTTTTCTTGGAAGGTATGTCATTTGCCAAAATCAGTTTTATCTTAGCTGGTATTTGCTAAGATAAGACTGATTGTGGCAAATTACATACCCCCCAAGAAAATAGAGGGCGGGGGGGCGGGGCTAGTACTTGTTCATGTAAGACTGATTTTGGCAAATGACATCCTCTTTAAAAAAAATAATTTGCCAATATCAGCTTTATCTTAGCAAGTACTAGCCCCGCCCACCCACCCTCTCTATTCTTAGAGGGTATGTCATTTGCCAAAATCAGTTTTTTATTAGTTAGTACTTGCTAAGATAAGACTGATTGTGGCAAATGATAGATCTTTTGAGAAAATATAGGGCGGGTGGGCGGGACTGGTACTTGATAAGATAAGACTGATTGTGGTAAATGATATATCCTCCAAGAAAATAAAGGGTGGGTGGGCGGGGAAAATACTTGCCAAGATGAGACTGATTTTGAACTAGGTAATTTGCCAATATCGGTCTTATCATAGATACATGAAAATCGAACCTAATTTTCTGAAAGAATACAAATGATGAATTATTTTGTAATTCATCTGGAGAAATATTAATTTGAGAATAAGTTGTTCTAAATGAGCTTTCACACCCACCACAGCATAAAGTTTCAAATTTCGTGAACAACTGTAAAATTGGAAACTTTAAAAAATCTACAACGTTATTAGGGATGTTCTTAAAATATGGAAATTTGAACTAAAAATATAATTAAAATAATTATCTTGCTTGTTTAATGTTTGTTTTAGTTTTTGACAGCTCCAGTACCAACATTATTATTTTAAAAATAAATTTCATGGCCTACTACTGCTTTCGCAGACTTAAATCTTGTAAGAAAATGATTCTGATGAGAAGATAAAATAATATTAATAATAATAAAGAAATCTTAAAATTGTTTTAGAATTAAATTATATTGAAAATCGAAATTGTTATGGCGTTAATTTATACAGAGTGTTTGATTTTGAGCGAGTGGTTAATGTTTTTTATGTGTCGCGGTAAGAAAGACGAAACAACGTTATAGGATTTCACGATTAGCGGCATTGTTATCGCCGTTCACAAGCGGCAAATGCAATAATGATACTTTGTAATGGATATATGTTATCTCGCGTTATAAATACGAGTGTTTGGAGCGACAAAGTTGTAATGTGCATTTGAACGGACTTTTGTTATGCACTAGCATTAGCATAAATATGTGATACGTATTCATCATAAAGTTGTGTAATTTGGAGTTAGTATTAAATTTTATGCGACCGACAATCATTATCGTAAATCTGCATAATTATGGCAGTAGGAAAAACAAGTGGTAAAAAATGTCAGCCACTTAGAGAGTAAGCTATTGACTTATCTCATAGTCATAAATAAAGGGAATAACTCGTGGAGAAAATCCGAATCCAACCCCTTAATAGCGCCCCTCCAATGAGAGCCGTTCTTGGCGCAATCAGAGGTGGAGCAACCCGGACCGCAACTCTAGTCCGACTCCGGGTTTCTATAGTAACCCAACTCCCGGATTTGAAATGGTGATTTCAGTTTTCATATGATCCCCCAAAACATAACACAGATTATCGACTATTATCATGGAGAAATTAACGCAATTCGTGTCCAAGTCTTTCGAAAACAACAACAACACGACGGTGAGCGAGCAGTGTCTCAATTTGACTTCCGCGATCAAGACTTCTCCGGCGATTAAGATGGAAGACGAGTTCCAGACGCCTTCCGAGGACACCAAAAGGCCCAAGAACTGGCTCATCTCGGACTTACAGAAAAACAGCACTCAGCAGACCTTCGGCATCGACCTCCGGCTCAACAATAGCCAGATTTTGTACAACTCGTACCACCAGGATAAGAGCGAAAGCGAGCCGGCCGGGAACCAGACTTTGGGTGCTAAGTGGTTCGACACTAACGCGGATGTTAAGACTCCTTCGCCCAAAAACAGTTACTGTTCTTCTTCGCCGATTGATCTCGAGGACTCGAAATCGTGCCCGGAAACCGTCGCGAGTGAAAAGAACGAAGATGACAAACAGGAACATGTGGATAAAAGTGTGCACAGCGACGAGAGGAAGTTATGTGAGTTGTTGTTGACTAACTGCCGTCGGGTCATCTCCGTAATTTTACCTTTGCTAAAACCGATACGATTTTGGAGAATCAATCTGAATATTGATTCGGTGTGGCGAGTGCTAAAAGAGCTCCACTATAAATTTACAACCAGAGTATTGCTAATCCAATTACAATTTGCTCAGAGCAATGCTAGAACGGCTACCACTTTAATCACTTTATAGAATTATCAATGGTTTCTACATTTAATTAAAACGAAATACAGATGAATTTGATTACGATTCAAATGAGGGACGACCCTTTGTGGTGGAGCAATAATGTTTAAACGACCGACGGCTCATTATTTTTTTTAAAGGAATCGATACTGCATTTTTAAACTTGATACAATACCACAGCCAAGTTTAAAAAGCAATTCTATTTAAAAAAAAAAACAAACATTTTTTGTTGATTCGAAATTCGGTGGGACGCAAAAATGGAGCAGTTTCAGCAACGAAAAATTATTTTGTTACGTTCTTGTATACTGTACTCTTAGTTCTTTGGAAATTGTCTTGATGTTCACAATAACCAAAAAACATACATATTCGTTGTATTTTCCACATAATACATAGAATTTTAATTAAATTTGAATAAAAAAATATCGCACGAAGAGTACAAAGTATTTATAAAACAATGTTCTTTCTAATATTTTGTTATATTTATCAACCATTATTAAAAAAATATCTATCAAAAACACCTACGAAAAAACTGAAAACGTATATTTTATCTTGGACCTTTTAATTAGTTTTTTTTTTCTATTTTAAACGCCTATGATCTGAAGTTTTTAAAAATGTATGTCAATTCCAGTTTCAAAGCAAAAAGTTGTTCAACATGTCTTAGTTAACCTTTTTAAAAATTTTAATACAACATAAATATCATAAATCTATAAAAATGGAAATATTTTCAAAACTTTTTGTTGTTCTATGTATTAGGTTGATAAGAAGTTAAACTACCATTACGCAAAAAACTAAAGTTTTAATAACGTCACTGAATTTTTGTTAAATGTTTTTTTAGCTGACTCCTATAGTAGAAAAACATAGGTCCCCCATTTCCGTCTGTCTGTGTGTCTGTCCGTCGTCAGTGTCAATTTTTGTTAGACAGATAATTTCCCCAACTATCTGACCGATTATTGTCAAATTTTATAAGTGTATTATGTATAACATGTAGATGGTAAAACGGTAACCAAACTTTATCTAATTATTCCCACCAATAATGTACATAGTAAATGGGTTTCAAATTGTATAAAATAACATAGTCCTACACATATAGTTTAAGAGCCACGATTTTTGAAAAAATAAAAATTGCATAACAATATTTTGCAATTTAATTTTGAATCTGTAAAACCTAATGCCTTGAAAACTTGCAAACGTTTTAAAGTTATCATAAGCCTAGCAAATTTTTAATCCAAATATATTTATTTTTCCCTCCAAAAAAATTAATGACATCATCTCAAAATTTTGGCGAATAAATCCTATTTAAAATGTCCAAAATATTTCTATACTCTAGTCTATACTTGTGGTTTATCACTGCGTTCATATTTTTTAGAATTGTTTATACAGGGCATAAAAAAAATGAATGTGTGAATTCATTTTATTAATTAAATTAAGAACGGCTCACTCCATTTTCCCGAAAATAAAGGAAGTATTGTAATCGAGTCCGTCGGGTGACTCTCTACTTTTACATTTTCTCGACCTTTCATGACCCCTAGAGGACGATGAAATAGGTCTCCCATTTCCATCTGTCTGTCCGTTTGTCTGTCCGTCCGTCTGTCCGTTTGTTCGTCTGTCTGCCGTCCCGGATTTTTATTAGACAGATAATCTCCGAAAGTACTGGTGTCAAATTTTGTACTTATATTAGGAATATCATGTAGATGGTAAAACGCTAACCAAAATTTGTCTAATCATCCCCACTACTAATGTGATGACGTCACTTCAAAATTGTACATAGTAAATGGGTTTTAAAATGTATAAAATGACATAGTCCTACACATGTAGTTTATGACTCCGAATTGAATTTCTACCCGAAACGTCCAGATTTTTGGAAAAAAAAACAAAATTTTGAAACATTTTGCAATTTAATTTGGAATGTGCAAAACCGAATGCTTTGAAATCTTGCAGATGCTTTACGGTTATGATAAGAATGATACATTTTTAATTAAAATATATTTACTTATTCCCTCCAAAAAATTGATGACGTGAGCTGAAAAGTTTGCCGAATAAATCCTATCTAAAATGTACAAAATATGATGAGTCTGCACTTGTAATTTATCATTCCGTTCATATTTTTTGGATTTGCATATACAGGGTGACTCAAAAAAATTAATGAATTCGTAAATTTATTTTATTACTTAATCAGGAACTACATAACTGAATGCTTTGAAATCTTAGATATGTTTTAAAAAATGTATTTGCTCATCCCCCCCTAAACAACTGATGACGTCACCCCAAAATTTTGCTGAATCAATCCTATCTCAAATGTACAAAATATGATGAGTCTACAGTAGTGATATATCATTCCATTAATGTTTTTTGGATTTGCGTATACAGGGTGACTCAACAAAAATTATCATTGTATTTCAGGAGCAAGGGAAGTTCTGTCGGAACAATTTTCGACCAATTTTTTTAACTTATAGAGAGGTTCTCTTAAAAAAATACAATTCGTAAATTCAAATGTATAATTTTTTGGAGAAGTTGGATTTTCTTCTTTTTCCGCAAATAATTTTGGTCATGCCGGAAATTTTGTTTTTTTTGTCGACCGATTTGAGAACTTTTCGATTGTAAGGTAGAGGAAAATCTAATTTTGCTATCTAGTACGATAAAACTTATATCGTGAGACTTCAAAAAACAACATTTTTTAGCAACACTAAGTTGTATTTTTATTTCTCAAGCGTTAGATAGTTTTCATTTGTAAATGGCTAAATTTAAAGTTTCTTGACGTTTCATAGTTCCTGGACGCTGGAAAAGTAGTTTTTCCATTTTCGGTAGTTTTATTAGATAGATAATTTTCGAAGCTACTGGACTTATTGTTACGAAATTTTCGGTGCATTTTAGGAAGATTACGTAGCGCTAAACAAAATTAGTTTTACCCCCGCCAATTATTCGATGACGTCATTTCAAAATTTTGCTAGGTAAATTCTGCTTAAATTTTAGATAATATAGGTAGTTCTTACTTGTCGTTTATTAATTAATTTTTATAACTTGAGCAACTTGATTTTGTAAAAAAAGCAAAACTGTACAAGAACATATTATAATTTAACTTTGAAATGTCTCAAAAAATTAAGTAGACCTTTGTGGAGTAAAATAAAGGCTCAGTAATACAATTTTAAGAAAACAATTTATAAAGTTTTTATAATTTCTTTACAATTTATATTTAATAATTTTTTGATTTGACGTCATCAAGTTTTGGTAGGGAAAAGTGGATGCAACACTTATAACACTCTGTCCGTAAATTTATTCTTCTGACACATTCTACCTATATTCTTGTGAAATTGCAGTTTGGGACATATAAAAAAATGGTCTAAGGCTATTTAAACAAAACTTCTCTCGCCCTTTAAATATAATCGAGCAAATAGTTTTTTTTTTTTTGGAAAAAATGTAAAATTTAAATCTGCAAAATATTGGATTTTTTAAATTCAGTTGCTACTATTTCCGAATCACTTAACCTCAAATTTTAATACATCGAAACTACTTTACAGGGCATACTTGTTTAAGGTATTTTAACTTGTTTTTGAAACTATTATTAAAAATCAATTAAATTCAAGGTTTTAACCTGTTTTCCCACCTAGTAGGGACCAATCCGATTTGAGTGGTACAGGCTTAAGTTTCGTGCTTGCCTTCCCGCTCAAAATTCTGTCCCAATTTTTGGTTATTGTCTCGAGACATGCAAAGCTTTAAATCTTGAGAGTGAATTTTTTGTTTTAATATTTTTTTGTTATGGAATATTCTTTCACTATTTATGAAAAATAGTTTTTAGATGAACAGAGAAATGACGTACACGCGTATACAGTTGTCTCAGCCATGGTACAAGAAGACATGCGCATTTGGTGTGACGTCATGTGGCTGTCATGACCGCCAACTTTAAATGCTGGCTTTTTTTAGCTGGCTTTAGAAAAAAAAAGAAATATATCCTGCTGATGTCGAACACCCTCTTAATAGAGACGGTAGGGAACAGCAGCTACTGGTCCGGTGTTTCTTGGGTCAGGTATTACAGGCTTTGGGCTCTGCTCTATGACAAAAATAATAATAATAATATTAATACTGAAATTCTGTAAACGCCATTGTTTTTAATTTGAAGGGGGAAGTTTAATTTAATAGATTGCACCGACACTATTAAGACAAAGGAGCCCCCCTGTAATATTTTTATATAATTAAATAAAATTCAGCCTGTCTAATGTATATTTTACTTATAAAAATACAAAATTACATTGTATATAAATATCAAGTTCCACTCTCAGGACTGTTGTCACTTGGTTTATCTGAGTTTCTGCAAAAATAAAATCACCACAAAATAGATTTTTATTTGGTTGTATCTCCTTACTCAAATACGTTTCCCAAAGACGTAATAAACATTGTTTTTTCTTCAAGATTATTAAATGTTAATACTATCTTCTAAGTTCTTGCTAATGCTAATGCCAATAACAATAAATGTAAATATAACCTCAATTTCAAAAAATAATATTAGTTGATGTTATGTTAATTAGTTAAAACTACAATTATAAAATTTATATATGTATTAAGAATTACGGATTCGATGTATTTTGAGTATTACTAACTATTAAATATCACAAACTCTCTAATATTACTTGTCAACTACAAGATGCAAACAAACTGCGCATGCTCACAAACCGTCTGTTTTATGTTGTGTCGCTCATCTAACGACGCGCTAAAATTGAAATTAACTCCCTCTGTTCGTAAGAAATATAAAATAAGTATGTATAACAAATAATTTTCTAAAAGCATTATTTACTCTTTGATGAC